GGAACTAAACCAGGTCTATGGACAGGAAATTAATATTATTCGATTTTTTATTTATTTACGGGATCTACCTTGCATCTTTTTATTTACGAGTCTCTGATATTTCAGCATTGTTGGAAGTGCCATGACGGAAAAAAGCTTCAACTACACCAACGCGTTCAGATCCATTCTGCAGACGCAGTGCCATCGCCGGCGCGATCAATGATCAAAGGCCAATGACAGATCGCGCGACCTATGACAGTTCACGCGACCTGTCATTGGCCTTTGATCGCGCCGTGATCGCGCCAGCGATGGCGATCTGCACGCGTTTGGTGTAGTTGAAGAATAACTACGCACAGTGTTTTATTTTGCCTTAGAAGCGGACATCCCTGTTTTAATAATTCAATCGTTAGATATTACTATTATGTTTATAATTGATGAAGGAACTAGTAGTTGTATTTGTTTAGTTTCGAAGAAATATTCGATTTGTGATTTTATAAAAAAAACTGTTTTAGAAGCATATTTTCTAAAAAAAATACATTAAGTCAGAATTTTGTAAATAAATTTACCTATCACTATAACGTCTTCCTTTATGCAAAAATAAATGGTTATTGCTGCAGTAATTTAGGAATTATTTAATAATTTTCAGAAAACATTTTTTTCTCCGTTGTCCTAGAAAATTGGCAGCTATATTTACTTTATATTGATGCATGATATAATTATCTATAATACCTGAAAATATTACTTGCCTATCCCGTGGGAGTTCTACTGTTAATTGACCATGAAAGTTTAAAACATTATTATGTTTATCCAAAAGCCTATCTCTTGCGCCGGCGCATCTCCAGGGATGCCGCGCGAGCTCGCGTCCGACACTTTTTCAAAATCGTGACTCGTCCCGCGTCCCGTCGTCACGACTCGGTCCCGTTAGACACACACTGCTCGCACTCACACGCTCGCCCGCAGTGGAAGCGGGACAGCTATACTTGGTCAGCACCGCCCTGAAAACCCTGAAGGGTCTCGCCCGCAGCGCTTTGTTTTTAAAGTGTTAACGTATTGTTTCATTGTGGGTATGTATGGCTAAGTTGGATAGAATTAATGTTTTGTACGAATTTAACATAGATAGATACTGTTTATTGTACAGGAAAATTAACAATACTATTACAAGACTTATGCCATATCTATACTAAAAATACGAAAATAACTCTGTTTGTTATTTTTTACGTACTTATACCTAGTACTGAACAGATATAACTAGTTGAATAAGAGATAATCACTTTGAGACCCAGGAAAATTTTATCCCGGTTTTTGAAAGGGGGAGACGCGTGCGAAAGTCTTTCGGTGACAGATCAAAATTCATATGGCCGAAGTCGCATGTAAGGCCCAGAACAGACGGTGAAACGCAACTGCAACGAAACTGCAACTCTCTGATGATTCTTATGAATGAAACTAAAACTGAAATTTTCAAACTGGTCGCGTCATGTGTGGTCTCTCAACGGACGCTATGGCAGAAACTTAGATGCAACTCAAAAGTAACTAGCAGTTGCAGTTTCGTTGCAGTTGCGTTTCACCGTCTGTTCTGGGCCTAAAAGCTAGACTGCAATAAAGACTCTCATAGACAGAGGCGATACAATATGTTCTGAAAACTTTATAACCTCAGTACAAGCCACGTGAGTGGAAGAAGACTTTAAAAATGTCAGACTTTGACATGAAGCCTACATGTAGGAGCTGACTAATGCGATGGCGATTTCTATGAATTTGACTACTTGTTTTGGACTGAGTGCCTTGTTAGTCATTAGCAAGCGACGGCACATCAACATAATCACTGAGGCACCTTATGCAGTAATAAATAGATGCGATTTTTAAACAAAAATGTAATAGTCTAATGTACAAGGAACAGGATATTGAATCATCTGCTATTATTCATACGATTGTGATCCGCTATCATGAGAAAAACGACGCATTCGTGATCAAAATATTCCTACAAATAAAATTAGTAATTAATTAAGATTGTAAATCCCGAACAAAACCACAAAAGTCATTATTAAGATTATCTCTTATACCTATAGTGCTAACTAAAACTGAATTTAATTTTAGAAGTACAAAAATAAATCTTATGAATAAGATTCGTATAAAGCAATTTTGGGCTTACCAAAATTCTAATCTGTCTACTAATTAGTAGTCCAGTGTTAGTATAACAATATGACAGTCGTAATCAAATACGATTTGAAAATCTCATGTCAGGTAAAATAAACATTGCAAATCGATCTTGAAATGAAATCTCCTAAAAATGTTAAATTCTCTAGACGCCTCTTTACGACAATTGAAAAAAAAAGTATTTATGTATGTTTATATCCGTTGTCTATTACCCATAGTACAAGCTTTGTTTAGTTTAGGACTAGAAGCGCAGTGTAAAATGTCCAAGGATATTTATTTATTTATTATTATTTACTATTTAATCTATTTGCAAGTAATGCATATTATTATTTTGGTAATTTTTTTTTATTACTTTTACATGACTTGTGGTCACCCTAGCGTGACTAAGCTCGCCGGTAATGCACCCTACACCTGAACAGACAGCCATTGTGGCTGTGGCGCAAGCCGTGTGAGAACCTTTCAATATCAGCCTTGTTTAATTATGCTATGGACTTTGTTGATCATTGCTTTTATTCTTTCAAGACTTAGTAGGTTAGCTGTGATGCGGTATTTGGTTGGATTGTATGACGAATGTAATAATTGATGATAATAGGAAATTTTACGTAAATTAGGGTAAACCGACAGTCATTGGACGCTGCCAGTCATTGGACAAAACAATCCTTGAATTTTCTTAAAATGAATATTCCTTCAAAAAAACGCCCTTTTATCTCCATCAGTCGGAATCTCTCAGTTGTTGAAATAGAAATGCTATTTTTAATTCAGTAAATAACTGTCCAATAACTTTCTTAAGTGTCCAATGACTGGCAGTTTACTACCGTGTATTTAAAGTTATTGAAACTAATAACATAACACTAATTGAAAGTAACAGGACTATGTACCCAATTTAAGTCTACATTTAAAAATCACTAGGCTATCTTTTTTTGTCCCCAAGCTGTGGCGAAATGTTATTGGTGAGTTTCAAAAACTTACATCACAAATAAAATAAAATACTTTTAGAAAAAAAAACCACCTGTAAATTCATCAGAAGTTTATGATAGCATTTCATGCTTTTGGCACCTCATATTATGAACCGTAATTCAAGTCTATCAAGCCAATCGCACATTATTTCACACCGATAAACCGCACACACGGCGGACAATGGCGACGCAACTTACACGCCAAACTCTGCGATGTAAACGCATTAACGAATCAATCTACGATAATCCAGCACACGCAAAGTTGGCTCTACACTATTATGCGACGAGTCCAGAGAAAGTTGCCGGCTTATTGCCAATGCATATTCATTGTACCCCCAGGCTGACCACCCTTATAAGATCCCCATCTGTACACACAAATCCCCCTTTAACACCCTCTCTGTCCCAACCGAGAGCAGGGAAGGGGACCAGCATAAAATGGTCGGCAGACTCAGTGTTGGATGCACAGTACTACTTTTATATTCTGTTTAGTAACCAGTGACAGTGTTGTGTTAGCCGTTTTGCGGTAAAATTTTATATGTACACATAACGTGGCGCGGAAATTCGCGCAACTGAAAAACCGGTGGCATTTTCAGAAAGATAATATTTCAATGAAAATGTACCTAATTTTTTCTTACTGATTTTGTTGTAAACATTTGTTTTTATAAGCCGTCTTTAGACTTGGCCGGGTTTGTTATAAGTTTGAAGTTTGTTAAAGCTTTTTGCTCAGATAAATGAGAACAAATGAAAATTTTAGGTTTCAAAGACCCCGATAAAATTCAATAGTATACGATAGTTTGTGTTGGTATAATTAATTGAAAAATTGTTGTCGTAGCGTCATCCTGAAAATGTAAATACATAATTTGATGTCCACCGCAGAAACGCTTAAATCTAATTAGCATTCAAAATTAATGCGCGGAACTATCTAGATATCTTTGGAAGTAAAATTTGTCGAAGCCCGACCACTTCAGCGGTACTAAAACGAGAAATTGTCTCGGACCCGGCGTTGCCTTAACCGGCTCGTAACAACACGGAAAATGAAAGTTTATTGCTATTCCCGTATAAAATTAAATTTTACTTCAACGCGAACGCATCGCAACGAGAATCACCACAACCATACCTTCACCAAGCTACATTTAAATAATAGGAAATTATAAGATATAAAATGAAACCAAATTAGTAGACAATAAATTACGCGCGTGTATTAATATCAAATAAATTAGTAAATTACAAGTAATAAATCACTTAATGTAACGCGACGATACGCGGTAAATTAACTTTAAACTACAATAAATTAATAAATAAATATTTACAATATCACATTTTCGCGGAAGAATCTCTGACCGGCGAGAACAATAAGTCGCGGACTCCCCATCCTTCGGTCCGAGGAGTGAGAGTTATTATCCCCGTTCACAAACATATAGTGCCCTAGCTAACGGTTAAATACGCGGAGGATGTCCCTAGTTAGCCCAAGATGCCAAGTGACAAGCAGTCAGCACCCAACGTAATCCCATTCCAAAGCCCATACGTGGCGTCAACCCCCCTGCTCAGATTTGTGGCTTTTAACTCCACCGTCCCAGAATTTGAAAGGAGAAGACGTATTTGCACTAGCTTCAGGCATTCGAGGACTACTAGTGTAATTTGGTGGCAGTCTAGACGGTGTTGAAAGGAAGCTGCCGTACGAGAGCGAGGAGTTGACGCCAAGTGACGTGTCCAGCGTAGAATAGTATCCTGAAGAAGCCGCGGACGGCGGAGGCGGCGCGGGCGGCGCCTGGACCCTCGTGGCGTCGGCGTACGCATCTAAATGCGTCCGTACCAACGTCAACAACTCCCCGTAGTTGGTCACGGCGCCACCCGCGCCGGCCACTCTGTAAAGCAACAACCGCGCCTCCCCAAAAAGACTATCTAAAATTTTACCTGTCGTGAAGAGGACGATGGCCTTCAGACAGGAGTACTCCGCCGAGTCGACGTGAAGCGCTTTCAGCTTCTCCACTTGCTCTTGGAAGATTCGTATGTGGTCCATGAAGGCGACCACTCGGTCTGCCGCCATCGGCGAGGCGTGCAGACCCGCGGCCGCCAGCAGCGGAGCCACGTGCAGCGGCATAGAACACTGGGACGCGTTGAGCACGAACAACTCCGACCAGACTAGTCTCAGGAGCGCGACCTGGTCGGTCACTTGAAGGTCGGGGAAGAACGGGATATTCCTCGCCCACTCCACCGCGGAGAACAGCAGCCTCGCGGCAAGCTCGCAGATATTGTCTATTCCCATCACATTGGTAGGCTGAACGCACTGGCCGTATCTTGAGGTTGGGTATGGCTCTGCTCGGAGGAGCAGGGAAATGTAGGAGGACAGGTAGGGATGGCTGTTGAGGCCGGCTGCGGGGTCTCCGTTTGCGAGGGCAAACTGACCAGGGAGGGCGAGGCCGGTAGGTTGCGTTGGTGGCACTCGGCCTCTTTGTACAGCTGAAACAAAGAAAAAACACAATTAATACACAGGACTCAAAATAGACCCTTGAGGCATTCTTAAATCTAACTGTTTTACCAAGGATTTTCTGTTATATGGGCAATCCAGTAGTAAATGTGACTCTAAATTTTATTTGACGTGTATAATTGACGTTAAAATACATACGTGCCCGGCAGATAGCAATTAGCATGTGAACACAAGTTCATTGCATTTCGTTATGACTGTAATAACTCAGTTTATGTTCGTCCTAACAACTGCGAGACGTTGTAATTATATTAATGCCGGTTCCTACTCCGACTACTAAGAAGAAGGGGTTTGCTTTCATTGGTATAATTTAAGTGTTACCATAAGACTAAATTACCTACTGTTATGGGATAATTAAATGCTTAATGACTGGGAAATTGATTTGAGATGAAACTGACATAAATGTGGAGTTTGCTTGGACATTATGGGCTTAGGTTTACGAGTATTTGGCTTTCGATATAATTTTGTTGCTGTAATTTTGTTCGAATTAGATAGATATTAATAAAATGATAATAATTTAAGTATTGTTTTGCTACGAACCTTTATCTGACATTGTTTAGTATCTAGATGTATTAATTTATCTAACTAATTAAAAACTCGCGTTTCTTCGATAGCTCTTATTTTATGCGACATTGACAAATCTAGTTCACATGACAGACATCAACAAAGAAAAATAATAAACAAGACAAAGGGTTTTAACGGCTTGAACAGAATTTAGTTTCATAAACAAAATTAAGGTAAATACACAATGAGATAGAATTACATAATCAAAATGATGATGCTTCAGTTACAAAACTGGGTAAGAGTGGAAACTGAGCATTACTGTCCATCACAGATCGTACAATTCTCGTTGCCACAACAACGTAGTAATTTCTATTAATGCGTTTTAAATTGTCCCCTAGCAAGTATTTGACCTCCATCTTATAAAGAAGCAGAGCTGAGCCCTGTTATTCATCTAATATTCTTTACTGTTTGAATTACTGTGTGTTATTAAATTTTAAATATTGAAAAATTGACTATCATAGCCATTCGATTTATGTACTTTTTCTTGATCGTTATCATTAGAAATGTTGTGATATTAAGGCTGAGTTGCACCATCTTACTTTAACGGTAACTATAACGATAGCAATTTTTTGACATTTGTCAAAGTTAAAGTAAGATGGCGCTACTCAGCCTAAGATTTTCGATATGGTTAGGTACTCAACATTGATTCCCAATATTACCACAGAATAATAATAAGTACATATTACTCGTAAATCCAATTTCTTGTGTTTTTTATTTTTTTAGTTTACCTAACTTAAGGCACACATAAGGTTTATCTACCCCAAATATGAAAGTCCTGCGAAAGCAGTCTTAGAAAAACTAAATAGATTTTGTGGTAAAATGTTGAATGAAACTTCAGTTCTTGGAAAAATATGGTCACGACTGTGTCTGTAGTATGAAATCAAAAAGTTGCTCGAGCCACCGGTTACCATTGACAATTCTGTACCCCCAGTGAAAAGGGAGTTAAGTCGAAAATGGTGATTTTTGGGAAATCGCATTTGAAGTTAAAAAAAATCCTGCTTCGTCGCTATTAGAGATAACTTGGTGAAATATTTTTTAGGTGAAAGGTAATGTTAGATATAATTAGANTTTTTGCTCGACTTGGTGGGGGCACGCCTTCTGGATCCAAGACAGTTAAGATACCCCGCATACTACATATAGACTTTTTGTCGGCCGATAGTTGGGTCGGGCTGATAATAATCAGTTTGATGAACAAGTATCTTCTATACTTATTTGGTAATTTACATGGTTATTTGGTATAAGCGGATTCCTCATACAAATTAAAAACCGATCAAACCATCGGCTGACTAAAGTCTGTAGACTGCGGGGAGTCTTTTGATAATAATTGATGATACTTCATAGGTGAATTTTGGAGAAATAGAAATTTCGTGACAAACATTACATAACTATGTAAACCAAGTGTCACATTCATTTCCTTAAGGGTCAAAGTATCAGAATAAATCGATGTATTTGAAAATCTCACGAAAGAAGTTCATGTACCTAAGCGTCAGCTTTATCCCACCAAAAACATTCTGTAAAAAACTAGCCAAGTCTCGATGGAGCTGCTTGTTTATCTCTAAAAAGTAATGAAATCTAGACAAAATCGTGCCAAGTCTATGGTTCCTTACTGCAATTTCTTTATTATTATAGTTAATGTTGTGTGACTTGGCCGTTGAAGGGTACAAAACCAGGTGCTCCATGACACCATTGCACCAATCTGTCGCCAGAACCGCTACCCATTGACGATGGAAAATTGCCACTTGGAAAACGTTGATTCAATAACCAGTCAACTAGGCTTGATAAAGCTGCGTATTTCAATAATACTTATGTATGATTATCTTATAAAGATTGTTCAACGGCCAAGTCACAAAACATTAACTATAATAATAAAGAAATTGCAGTAAGGAACCATAGACTTGGCACGATTTTGTCTAGATTTCATTACTTTTTAGAGATAAACAAGTAGCTCCATCGAGACTTGGCTAGTTTTTTACAGAATGTTTTTGGTGGGATTTCACTTCTTTTTGTAGAAAGTGGCATAATTATTTAACGTCGTCGTCTTTTCTTTAATAATTATCGACATTTTTTTTACAATATTAAACACAAATAAACTCAACGACCTTTAAAATGGACAACAAAGCAGAAGTTGTATTAATAACTTAACCTTAGCCAACCTCACCATAATATAATAAACGAAATCAACGAAATTCAAATATTTACACAACATTCAACTTAATCGACGGGGGGATATAGAAAGGAAAAAAATCTGGACACCGCGATGCAGAAAGCAGAAAAATGACGCTCAAAGTGCTAGCGCTATCTAGCGGTGAGCAGTATAGGCGAACACCACGGTGCCGGTGTGGCGCTAGTAGTATTGATTATGAATGTGGTGTTACTACAGATTTTCTATTTTCCTAGTTTTTATAGTTTTCCCTTTATGGCTTTTATAGCTTTCCCATTAAACCCTAACTCTGTACCAAATTTCAGCTCTCTGAGTTGATGGGAAGTACTAGTTCTATTTTGATGATCATCAGTGAGTGAGTGAGTGTCGTAAATGCGAAACTTTGCTTTCGCATAACTTCGGAACTAAATGACCTACAGACTTGAAATTTTGGATTTTAAGTATGTGATTATAGCTTACTAGATGACGAAAATTTCAGCGTTCTGGTCTTATCCAGAGGTTCTCAAATAGAGGCCTGAAAATGCGGCGAAATGGTTCCAGTATCTTTGTTGTTAATATTTTAGTGTTAATCTATCAACAGACACGTGTTAATTATGTATTATTGTAGTGTTTATTTATTTATAAACTACATATTTGGCTTTAATAGAGGTTACTACCGGGATGATACTGTACTAATCTTTAATTCTTTGTTGATTAGACAGTAACATTTTAAAGTATTTACTATTTAGAATATGTTAAAGTTCTTTGCCATCGAAGGTCAGGCAGTCGGTCAAGGACTCGTGCGTGGCCATAGTGGTTAAATTGATTCCTTTTGTGCATTTGTTTTATGGAATACTTTAACAACAATGGCAATAGCAGATTTTCTTATTTCCACATCTCTCCGTTCAGCTTCGGTCGGTTTAGAAATCTGATTGGTTATTCAAACACATCTGGAAAATCCTTGGGGGGGTTTCCAGCAGTGAATGTCATTCGGCGCTGACTGAAACGAACGAAGTATGATCTGATGATAAGGGGTCTGGAGTCTGGAGTCTGGACATGTTACATTTTCCTTTGTGTCGACTTAAGAACATCATATTTTGATTGAACGTTGTTACTTAGGTTACCAATTTGACAACGTATCCCTATTCCATAACACTCTGTTGTAGCCATTAGGAAGAATCTACTTCATATACCTACCTCTGAAATTAAATAGTTGATTCAGTACATAGGCAAAGGAAAGGTCCAGGGCTCTTATACACGTCCCAAATATAGCTTGCCCTGCCACCACTTCGGGACAACATATGTGCTGCCAGCACATAATATGTTGTACCATACCCAGCACCAGCACAGTGCTGGTGCTGGGAAGAAGTGGCGGAAGAAACTGTCACCTTTGTCAGCCTCTTTTTTTTAATGAGTGCGGAATATAAAACATAGACCTCAGCGACAACATTATGACCTTCCAATAACGAGATTGGTAGCTTATTACATGTTGGTTAATTATTCTGCCAACGCAGAAGATTCTACAACATTCGTTGGTCATCGAAAGTTATTATGTAAATCAATCATTTTAATTTTAGATTATAACTGTTAACGTTGCTGGCCTGGCAGGGCTAGTTGATCTGTGATCCTACTATTCAGTTCAGTCCTATAGATCATGTCATCCACGAAGACGCGCCCAACAATTTTTGGTCGAGGGAAGCGCGGGTGCGGAGAATTTGATCTGAACAATCCGAGCATCATTATTGTAGTGTGCGTATGCACTCATGAATAATCTTAACGTGTACCGATTACACTCAAACAGTGGAAGAATGGTGGGGCGCGTCTTCGTGGATGAAATGATCTATACATTGTAGAACCATAGAAAAAGTAATTTGTAGTGGACCTACAAATAGCTCTGGTAGCTTATGCCAGCGGCTTTGTACGCATGGTTTGCCTTTTAATTTCAAAATAGTTTATATAAGACTCAAGTTTTGACGTTGTTTTGTCACCAAAGAACCAAATAAAACGGTGGTGTGTTACGTAAAATCGATTCTATTTTAGGCATTCGTTCAACCGTGTAAATTCGTGTGTTTAAATACAGTAATTTGAATAATGATAATAATGGGGCTCCAGTCTCTTTCACAGTAATATTGAAAATCACATTTTAAAGAATCCATTTTAGACATACGCGTAGATGAAAATATTAGAATTATGTAATCATGAGTTCAACAACACGACTTAAATACCTACCTACTCTGCCTAGAGGTTGTATCTTTCTAATAATTTGCTCAT